CAGAATGGAGCTATGCTCGCCCACTGTTCCAGAATGGAGCTATGCTCGCCCACTGTTCCAGAATGGAGCTATGCTCGCCCACTGTTCCAGAATGGGGCTATGCTCGCCCACTGTTCCAGAATGGGGCTATGCTCCACCTTCCTGAGGACAAGCAACTGCATGCACTGAGAGCCTACTGTATGTAACAACATCTATTCTCACCATTTATGTAGCTGATGACTTATAGCAGCATGGTCTTGTGGACATTTAAAGAAACGACTTTGTAGCCCAATGCTGTGTTATTTATCTTGTGGCTCCAACTGTTCCCAGTTTACCCACTCATCCCTAGCATTCAGTTGGCCCTGCCCCCTCTGACATACCCCAACTGTGTTTTGGTTTGTTGGTCTGTATGATTCCTCTCTTTCTGGTACTACATATGCTACAGACCCATCATGTGCATTCCTTGCCCAATCCTAAAATCAGTCTTTTCTCTAAGGAACTCTTGTTCCATTTATTAGATGATACTATTAGAAACCAAGATTGGCTCTGAGATTAGCTTGCTGATAATGGACTACTGATGCTTCTCAACCTCCTCAAATAAAGAGCAAGGGAGAGAGAGTGTGTGTGTATGCTCCTGCACATGCACACCTGTGTATGTGAGTGTGCAAATGTGTGTGTGCATATGAATATGTGAGTGTATTTTTGTGTACACATGCGTGCCTGCATGTGCATGTGTATGCATAAGCACGTGTGTGTGTGTGTGTGTGCATAACACATGGGCTATGAGTGTTCCTATGCATGTACACTACTGTGTGCATGCACATGTGTGTGTTTGAGTATATTTGTGTGTGCATGTTTGTGTGAGTGTGCTTGTATTGCATGCATGTACTACCCATGTACACACTCACAGCAATGCTTCTCTATATAAGCATCTTTAAAATTCACACGAATTCATACTGTTATCCCCAACTCTATGCTATTAGCACATGTATTCCAGCTTTTCTGTAATTCCCCACTCCACCGGAGAGCATCCAGTTCCCAGGACTACCATCGACACCTCAGCTGTCCAGTGCCAGCACACACCCTCAGCACTACTCATAACTGTTAACCAGCATGAAGGGCACCTGTAGAGAGGACACGGTGCTCCCATGTAGTTCCAGCTTCAGAATTATGCCCCACGTGACTCCAGAGTTACTCAGAGCAGCAACTTCCCCCCTGCCCTCCAAAAAGAAGTGACTTCCCAACTGTGGGAGGATGTGCAGAGCTGTGTGTCCACTCTTCTTTTCTTCTGCATCTGTTCTAGGGGCCTTCTGTCTTCAAGCTGAAGTCTCTAGTTCGTGTGTCTTGAGTCTCGGTGCTATAATGCTCTGTGGGTTCCCAGAAGGACACTGTCGTGTATCCACCATTACCCTATATAGAACTGACACCTCTTACACAAACAAGTCTGGCTAGAGGTGTGGTTCACTGGTAAAGCAAGGAACAAAATCTGAGTTCAATTCCTGGCACCCCACACACACACACACCTATCAACAGCAACTC